TTTACTCCCTCTTCTCGATAGGGAGGTCGGGGATTAGAGTCCAAAGAGGTGGAATATGATTCAAACCTAGTATTGTGTGACCATGAGATTAATTTAGTCTATTCTCACCCCTTATTAATACCTAAACTAAATACGTTCAGAGTTTTGGGCAAAATATATTATATCTAATAATACAACAGAAAAGTTTAATTTTTAATTTATAAAAATATTACAACTGTTTAAATTGGTACAATTTTTATCTATTTTAATTCAATGGTATAAAATTATCTCCATTTTTTTTTTTGCTCAAAAATATTATCTTCTTTGCATAGTCTCTAATGTCAAATAATTCAATTAACACAATCTACAATAATAGACAATCCTACTAATTTACACCTATTCTCTCTTACTTATCTCTCTCTTATTTTTTTTGTTCAATTAAATTTTAAATTGCATAATTAAAAAAATATAAAATAAATTATTATTTAAAATATACATAACACACAATTAATGCCTAATTTTTAATATTGCAAAGTATAGGTCCAGTGTTATTGCTAGTAAATAAATATCATGGATAGGCAGATAGCTACCATCTATATAACTTAACATCTCCCGAGTAATGTGATATTTATCAAGTTTTTTATTCTAAATGATGTGATATAATTTCCATCATTATATATTAATAGAATCTATTTATTTGGTCGGAACGTAAGATTTAATTTAATTATTTAGAATAAAAAAATTAATAAAAAATTTTGATCAACACAGCGTTATCCCCGAGGAGTAGAGCTGTGGCCCCCTTGATCACCGTCCCATGTTGCAGCGTCAAAGTTGGTGGCTCAAATTAGGCACCGGAATTTACGGTTGTGGAAAAGATGGACTCTGGCCCACAAAGATTCCTTCATATCCATTAACATTGAAGCCCCAACTTTTTCTGCAATGGCTTTGGTGGAAGACAACCATCATTTTGTGGGCCTTATGAGTTCCCCCACTGTATTTATAAATATATATGACTCCTCCATGATTGAGAAGGATCATATAGTGCATCATTCCGAGAGAGAGAGAGAGTTTTGAGGTCTTTATGGCAACACTCTTTGCAGATGTGATGAATTTCAAGTTTGAGGTGGAGAAATACGATGGGAAGAACAATTTTAGGGTGTGGCAAGTTCAAGTGAAGGATATTCTAATTCAACGCGGATTATTGAAAGCATTGATCGGCAAACCTTCAGATATGTCCGATGATGATTGGGAGGATTTTGATCTCCAAGCACGTAACACCATTTTGTTGTGTTTGACAAAAGAGGTTACGTACAGTGTAATGCACGAAGAGTCTGCAACGATGATTTGGTCAAAGCTAGAAAGCCTTTATAAGACAAGATGTAATACATCTCGAGTGTACCTACAAATGCAACTTTACTCACTTCGTATGAAAGAAGGTACGTCAATTCAAGATCACGTTGAAGAGTTTAGTAGAATAGACTCGGAACTACTAAACATAGAAGTACAATTGGAAGATGAATTTAAAGCCTTGATTTTGTTGGCCTCGCTTCCCAACTCGTATGACTATTTAGTCGCACCATTACTCTATAACAAAGAGACCATTCACTACGATGAAGTTAGAGCAGCACTACTACTTTTTGATAATAACTTGCGGGGTAAGGATGCAGTTAGACCATTCACTACGAAGAACTTAGAGCATCAACTACTATGAAGTTAGAGCAGCACTACTACTTTTTGATAATAACTCGTTGGGGAAGGATTCAGTTATCAATGGGAGGAAAAAGAATAGGAACCCTAGAAAGGGAAGATCTAGAATAAATTGACAATGTTATTGATTGTATTGGAATCAATTCTATCCTGACTTATAAAAAAGGAGTTAGGCATTTGAATTTTATCCCAATTTATTTTTTTTGTTCAATTCTATCACAAGTTAAATTATTTATTTTTTGATTAATTTATATAATTTTTATTTTGAACATTGTCCATATACTATAATATACACAAGTTGATATTTTTTTTAGGTCATGTATTTTGAGAAAAATTTGTCAATTTTTGTTTCAAAAAATTATGTGTAGAAATTAATTTTAAATTATGTAATTGAAGAAAGGGAATGAAAGAAATTGTTACTTGATATAGTGAGATCGATTTTTTAAACACTCATTTTTTATGTTGTATCGTGTTTTCAAACATGAGTTTTTGCTAATAGGATTATATCACCCCCTTATTATCCTCCAAACCTCGAAGATGTAAGTCTATTAGCCACATAATTTCAAAATTCAGCCACAACTAGGAGTGTTAAACGTATCGGGTTAAACATTTAGATGTCGGGTTAAACAGGTGACGAATAAAAAATATATAAACTTGTACACGACATGTTTAATAAATAGATAAAAAATTTTAACACGAACACAACACGACTCATTTAATTTAAAAAAAATTATATTAACAAATTTTAATACTCCATTTTTTTTTTAACAATTGCACTTACCTCAAAAAAGAGAAATTTTTAGTCATATCTCATAAAAATAAGACTTGAAGGTTTAAAAAAAATAAGCAAGAGACCATTGCTTTTTATAGGCAACACAACCCTCCCTATCTTCCCTCATTTTCCAATGTGGGACAAAAACAAAAGGCATTGATTTGCCTTTGTCTTTGAAGTGCTCTTCAACTCCTCTCTTTTGTCTTTGAACTACTACTTTACTTTTTTTTTTATTGATTTTTTTACTTCTTTTTTTCGTGCTAATTTTTTTAAATAATTATTAATTTATTATTATATTAATTTTATTTAAACGGATGAACATGTGATAAACGGTTTGACATGTCTCACTTGAACACAATCCGTTTATTAAATTTGTTTGGCATGTCAACTCGTTTATCACTCAAACCTGTTAAAATCTCACCAAAACCCGCTTAATTCGTATCAGTTAATCGTGTCGTCTCAAATTTTGACATCCCTAGCCACAACATACCCCCTTTTGATTTAACAAAATTAATATAACTATATGTAAAAAGGTAATTCTTCATGTACCAAATCAACTGCAGTTGTTTGATCAATGATGAGACCTACTGATCCAACGTTTAGTAAGTATTTTGGTGCACATTTTTTGTGCACATATCATTGCTCTATGTAAAATTAATGGCTCATTGCACTTTGGAAGGAAACAAAACTCCATACAATAACAAATATGGTGAGGCATTCATTTTAAGATGAAAGATACTGTGAACATGAATCCAAATGATTGAAACTTGTTTGGCAAGAAGTATACAAATGCATGTACAAATTAGTAATATTATGTACACCAAAACTTACATTAAATTACTTGCAACCATTGGGTCAGTAAATCTCATCATTGATCCAACGGTTACAATTAATTTTGTGCAAGTTTTAGTGCATAAGGAATTACCCTTTACAAATACATTCAAGTGGAAGGGAAGGGGGATTGCACCAGAGTGAATGAGTAGCCAAGTACCCAACCATTGGGTAATTCCTTGTTAGTGCATGCTTGAAACTTCAAAACTCTCGCATAACCCACAAAAGTAAGTCATGTCGTGTTAAAATTTGTACAAACCATGCATGATTCTCTTATGGATATCTAGTTATGTTTGTATCAATCCTTTTATGTGTCTTGATCATCAAAAAGATCATAAAGCTTCAATTTCTAAACAAATTAACGATTGAATATTAAAATTTTATGTTTCAAGGTGTTTCGCTCAATGTTTCTGAATGCTCAAAAAATAATTTTTTTTTTCCATTTTGTTTTTAAATCAATCAAAATTATGTACCGAGACAAAATTTTAATTTTTATGATACGATACAAATCGTTATATGCCAAAAATACCCTCTGATTACCTCTCACGTCATAGCCACATGATGAATTCTAAAATATAAATGAGACAAAAAATAACAACCAAAGGTTCATTTTAAACTAATTTTGAGACTTATAATGATAAATTTCAACCAGTTGTGCATGACAAAATTAAGAAAGAATTTTGCTAAAGAGATAATTAGATAAGATATGATTGGAAGGGGGTGTAAATTTTAGGGGTTTAGGGAGGCCGGTACCTCTAAAAAAACTTAATAGGATAAAAGTCTATGAAGTACGAATACTTCGTTGAGGTCGGCGTACCCGTATCGAATACGATATTCGTCGGATACTCGAGAATACGTATCGGATACACCTCCTACGTATTCATAATAATTAAATATTATGATACTTTACAGATACTTTTATATTCAAGCAACATATATAATTTTTTAGTTGAATTTGTAACATTTCTAAACACAACTTATGAACTCAACATATGAACTCATCGGTGAGCTTAAGTTTAGTCTTAGCTTTAAATGACAAACCCTTTTAACTCATCAAATTAATTAACCTAGTTAAACATGACAATAGATTGCCAAACACAACTTATATGGGACATGAACACAACAGTGAGTGACCATTTCAGCCAAATTTAAATTTTTAAGAATAAATTATATATATATAACACTCAAATTAGGACTTTTGTGTCAATTAAATAATTAAATTTCTTTTATGTCAATTGAACTATTGAATTTTGAATCTTTTTGCCTATTTCTGTTAGATTTTCTAATGGAAGTGACGAAATGTATAATTCACGTGATATTATGAGTTAAAGTAAATTATAGATATAATTTTTAAATTATGGTCCTTGTGTTAATTAAAATCTTGAACTTTTTTTTTTTTTGTTTTTATCAATTGAGTCATTCTGTCTTTTTGTTTTGTGTATATGATCACGCGGATGGAATAATCTAACAAAGACAGACACAAGGACTCAATTGCCACAAAAAACAAAGTTCCGCGTTTAATTGACGAGAAGTAATAATATGAGGTTTATATGTATAATTTACTCAAATTTTAAAGCTCCCGACCCGTGAAATAGTTTGAACCTGTCCAAAACACTCAAAGCTCCGAAAACCCTAAAAACAGAAGTAAAAAAGAAACAGTTGCAGTAGAAACAGCAGGCAAGAGAGAGGGTGAAGAGACGTGAAGCGAACGATGAAGAGTATACCTCTGCTTCTTATGGGTTGTGGAGGGGTCGGACGTCAACTCCTTCAGCACATTGTTTCCTGTAGATCACTACACGCCAAGCAGGTCATACCCATATTGAATTGTCTTTAATCATTTCATGAATACCAGTATTCATAGGAAAATGTAAGTATTGTATGAAAGGGTTATGAGTGCTATTGTGTGATGCACGAAGTGGCTAATTATCAAATAGATTGGGAAATTGGAGAATTTGATGGCCTGGCCTTTCTATTTTAACCTGTCATTCAACGGGTGGTGGTCCTTTGGTTTATTTTATAGAGCTCCAAGATATGTAGTTCATATGATATGACCCAGATAATGGTAGATGTGGGAAAATTATTCAAAGCATGGCTGTTGGGCAATTTCTTCTTTCATGCTCCATTGGGGTCATGAATAGATTTGTGGGTTTGCTAGAAGTTGGAAAAATGCAGAAACATTCTCAATGAAAATTTAGTTGTGAATGGTACATATTTGTCTGTGTGTGTTGAAAATGAAACTCAGACTAACATTTTATTTGGTTTTACTAGTGGCTTTCGGGGTGGGTTTTGTATGAATTCATCAAAAACATGAAATTACGTGAGTAGATTTATTATGCAACAGGGAGTGCGCCTGCGAGTTGTAGGAGTATGTGACAGTAAATCGTTGCTTGTTGCCTTGGATGTGTTCACCATGGAGTTAGATGATACCTTTTTGATGGAAGTTTGCCGGGTCAAGTTGAATGGCTCTTCTCTGCTGACACTTAGCAATGTTGGTAATTCCCCTATGTCTTGTTATAGTGATGGCAATGATACACTATCTTGTGCAATTTTTTGGTCATCGTAGATGGGCCTTTTCCAATGAATTACTTGTTGTCTCCTCTGATGTCGGATTCTTTGGCAGAGCTGCCTCGTTCTATCAGTTACCGTATTATCTTTTGGAATAAAACAAAAAGAAAAGAGAAAAGAAGAAAATGTACACCTAAAGATGGCTTGCTGAACTGTCAATAGTTATTCAACATGCTAATATTTCTTTCTGGATTGTCCTTTTTTGGTTCCTTGTAAAGGCGAATGCCAAATATTCTCGAATCCAGAATCTATGAGAAAGCTTGCTGATATTGCTGCTCTTCTGGTTAGATCAACAGGTTTGCTGTTCTTCTGGGCTCCAATGTTTCTTTTACATCACTGTCTTCTAACCTTATCAACCTTGTATGCACAGTATTACATAGCATCGGGTTTGCCCACTATGACTCTGTTTTATATGGACTGCAACAGGTTTGGCATTTGTTGATTGCTCTGCTAGTTCTGAGACCATTGGAGTGCTAAGTCGGGTAGTAGATATGGGTTGTTGTGTAGTGCTAGCTAATAAGAAGCCTCTGACCTCTTCAATGGTAACTATTTCTTTTACAAGTTCCTTTTCTACTTCCATTGGTAGCTGCAAATCTAAGCTTCTAGCTGTGATGTGGGAAGCAAAGTTGTTATTGCCCTCCTTCCAATAACTATATGTTTATGTTGCAGGCTCCTGAGAGTTTTTGTCAAAATTCTGTCTTTTCTATGTCTTCATTTGCCATTCAAGGACCAGAGGACACAAGAACTGTTATTCAACTAACTTATTTTTTTTGGTTTGCAGGAAGATTATGACAAGTTGGTCTCACAACCACGGCGTATTCGGCATGAGTCCACTGTATGTTTGTTTTTTCTTGATGTTGCCAGGAGTGCTTTACACTTGTAGCCAATGGGTGTTGCGACTTGGGTATCAAATCTGAAATTCTATCTGAGAGCTGAACGGAAGAATTCAATTGTTCTCTTATGTGAAAAGTGATAAAACTTCTTGAGTGATATTAGGATTTATGTGTTCATTCTAATAGCTGTACCATTGATGTGGAGTTGGGTTAGAAACTAGTAGCAATTGAGTTAAGAATACATTTTCCTAGATTAATAGTTGAATTTCATTGGCTTTCCACTTCTGTTGTTTCTTCAGCAATCTTAAGTTTTTTTGGGTAAGTCAGCAATCTCAAGTTGTGCCTTCACTAAAAGTGGTTTTGATGGGTACTCAAATATCTTTCATCCGGAGCAGACTGTCAATTCTAGATCCTGCTTTTCACCATTACTTAAGAAATGTTAATGTTTCTGTGAGTTTTATGTAATAAAAATTGCTTTTCATTAGATAAATGTACTGCAACTATTCAAATTGCATATTGGTTTTCTGGAACAGCTTGTTCTGTGTTTCGCTTATTTAGTATATAGGTCTTTCTGTCGTGAAAGGGTCAGCGGGCATATGTTTGTAAAATTTTCTTTTATAGGTTGGTGCTGGCCTTCCTGTCATAGCATCCTTAAATCGTATGCTTTCCTGTGGAGATCCAATACACCGTATTATTGGGAGTTTGAGTGGTACTACATTTTACACACTTATTTTTTGTGATTTTATGTTGCAAAACCAGTTCATTTCTGCCTTACGCTTGCTTGCATTCACAACAGTAACTCTTAGTTGCAATTTGTTGAGTAGCTATGTCTAACATACTTATCTCCAATAGGTACATTGGGATACGTAATGAGTGAGGTAGAAGATGGAAAGCCGTTCAGCCAAGTTGTTAAATCTGCTAAAAGCCTTGGCTACACTGAACCAGGTTAGATAAGTCATAACAACACTGGTTCAATACATCACATGCATGATCAGATAAACATACTTGGCTAGCGAAATGCTATGTTAGGATGATTCACACTATTATAGGGTTCGGTTATTATTTGTCCTCTATTCTTGCTTGTTGGCGTACAAGCATTTGGACTTGCCTTGAGTTTAAGAGCATCAAATCCTGACTTGGGCCACTGGGTTGATATGTTTGACTTATTTATTTTGTAAGCATTAATAAGATTATGGAGACTTACTTGAAAGTTTTTATTTCATATCAGATCCTCGGGATGATCTCAGTGGGATGGATGTGGCAAGAAAGGTTCAGACATGGTTTATCTCTGATTATTCTGAAATTTCTTCAGCGCAGCCATTTTTTCTGTGTCATAAGATTTTGTATATTCATTTCTGCAGAAGAATTATTTTAATGCTGACTTTTCATTTATGGCGTTGATCATTTATTATAACATTTTCTTATTTTGATGATGGTATGCTGAGAATTGTAAGAATTCATATGGTTACAAGTGTGCAGGAATGAGAACAATTATTCACTTTGTTGTCATTCTGGCCTATCAAGGGATACCATGATTATGGGTTTAGTGGTAGACCCAGCAAATAAGGTCTCATTACTTGGTCCTGTCTAACTGGTGTAAAATTTTAATTAGTCTTGGAAACTTTATGAGTTATTGTCTACCTAATTTTTAAGGTTTTACTCTTGTTTAATGATGATTAATGTTTGGCGTACAGTCCGCAACACCCAAAACTAACTTAAAATAGATTGGACTGATTGTAAAATGGTCACACTAAATCTTGTGATGGAATTTTTTCTGTTCAGGGATATAGATTGACTTAACACTGAAAGTAAAGATGTCTAGATCTGTCAGATATTTTAGAAGTTACATGATTGTGGTTTTCAAAGCAATATTTATAAGTAATATTGATTGTGGATATGTTACTAGTTGTTATCAATATTTGGAAACAGGCTCTGATCCTTGCTCGACTTCTTGGACGCCGTATTAACTTGGACAGCATTAAGGTTGGTGCATGTGTCAGTTATTTTGTATTATCTCGATATTAAATCTGATAACCAGGTTAACAGATTCCAATTGTTAAACCGATCTTGTAGATTGAAAGCTTGTACCCTGTTGAAATGGGACCTAATTTTATGTCTGTGGGAGACTTTTTGTTGAATGGCCTCCCGTCGATTGATAAGGACATCCAACAGATGGTTGAAAAGGCTTCTTCAAATGGAAATGTTCTGCGTTATGTCTGTGTTATTGAGGACTCAAGGTATTCTTCTAGTTCATAGACTTCTATTTTTGAACAAATTGTTCATTGACTTGAAAAGTTTGAAATGATTTGCATGACATCGTGAGTGTTGCTTGTTACCAACTAATTCACAAATATGGTAAAGATATGCTCATATTTTAAAAGTGATTTTCAGGTCTTTTTTTTGGGTTAGCGTGTTGGTATGGAATGCATTTGGCAACTCTTTAATTCAACAATGACATGTAAGAGAAATATATTAAGTTGTCAAAATTACCCCCCAACTCTTTAAAATGTTTGTTTTGAAGTGAGATAAGTTTGATTAACTCAAGTCTTTGGCAAAAAAAGTTCCATTAAACATTAGAGCACCTTTGGACAATTGGTTATTGTTAATATTTCATTTATGTTTTAGAACTGACCTTTAGTCACTGTTTCAAAAGTATTTCTGTAGCTTTTTGTTTGGATTTTAAAATTGTGAAACTATACTTCCTTTCCATATTACTGAGTATCATTGAGGAATGAAATGAAATAAGGAGATGGTGTAACTGAAGTTCCAATATGGTACACCAATGGTGAAATTCTATGCAGGGTTGAGTGAGACGCTGAGTGTAACAACTTCCTTTTTTTTTTTTTTTTGTCTTTTTTGGGGTGAGAGGGGGGTGGGGGGTGAATCATCAACAACATTGCCATCATAAGATATTGGGCAAAACATTGAAGAGGAAGAAAAGATTAGGGGAGGAGATTGTCTTCCGCTTATGGTACAATTGTCAGTGGGAGTTGGACTTTTGGTTGCCAGATAGGGATTATCAACGGACTGTGGTCAAAGGGTGGGAATCCATGGGGTTTTTACGACATTGATATGAAAATGTGTAGAACAGAGGTGCTTGGTGTAAAGCTATAGCTACATTATAGCTTGACTGTGATTGTGTGACCTTATTGTTAGTATAAGGTGTAAAACGATATTTCTGGACAGAACGCCCTTAAGCTTGCTTTGACATATGTCGGGGCCAATGATTTTGTTAAAGCTTTATAATTAGTTTTATTAGAAGAGAAAGTAATCCAATCGATAAAGATTGGATCTTCTCTGTGCATGGTCTACAAAACAACCATTTGATTACTTACACTAGATGATTTTGGCCCTATTTTTACTTACACTAGATGATTTTGTTAAAGCTTTATAATTAGTTTTATTAGAAGAGAAAGTAATCCAATCGATAAAGATTGGATCTTCTCTGTGCATGGTCTACAAAACAACCATTTGATTACTTACACTAGATGATTTTGGCCCTATTTTTACTATGTAGGTGTGAAGTTGGTATTCAAGAGCTTCAGAAAGATTCTCCTTTGGGAAGATTAAGAGGAAGTGACAATGTGGTAAACACTACTTTACTATTTTTTCATTTTTGTTATTAACTCTTTATTTTCTCCACTATATCTTCATTCTTGTTATTTTTTCTTGTTTACTTCTTTCTTGCCTTCCAATCTTTATTCTCAAGGTTATTGTGTTGATACACGGTACAATTAGGACAGGAAATATCTATCTTTTTCCCATACTTTCCCAAAAATTATGAACCACAAGTGGCTTATAGGTTAATGCTTGCATCACTTATTTTTTTTTATCAGGTTACTGTTAGTGCTTTATTTTGTTGGTGCACAAGGATCTTTGTTGTCCTATTGAATATCAAGAGTTGTTTGTAGGCAAACAGAAAAAAAAAAAATATCCTTTTGAAATTTGGTGAATTTTTTTTTATTACTTTGGGACCAAGTTTTTGGAAAGAAAGTAACTTAAAGCTCTAAAGGATTGGTGAATTTGATGAAAAGGGAATCCTTTTGGTGGCTTAAGGTGCAAATTTAAAATGAGTGATAGACAACTCTTACACCCCTATTCCTGGTTTTCGTGTTACACAAATATGATTGAACATCCAATAGTGTTGATTGTTTTTGCCATAGATTAATTAATCATAGATAAGACCCGCTGATAGGAATCGGATTATATTTCGTTATAATAGGCGTAGACGTAAGGATTAGGAGTTATTTGTCATTATGTTTTTTAGGGGTTTAGTTGTCATTTTGACTATTTATTTCTTTTAGAGTTTTTTTAGGATTTGTGGTCTCCCTATATATATATATATATATATATATATATAGGAGATATGTTATTTATTTTGGTAGACTTTGATTATTGATTATTAATATTGAATCTTCTGTCTAAAATTCTCTCTATTCTCATCTCCTTCTTCTTCTTTTCTCATCATTTTTTCTTCCCTTTTTATCCCTAATTTTTTCCTAATACGATCTACATCAATTTGGTATCAAAGCCTAATTTCGATTCGTATAAATCACAAAAAATCTCAACAACGCCATTCATAAAAAAAAAAAAACTGTTCGCACGAAATCACTGTTCATCGACTGTCCAGGTAAAAAAAAAAAAAAAAAAAATTTGGCAGATTCTTACTGTTCATCGTTCTTGTTCTAGAAAAAAAAAAAAATTTCATCGTGCGCACTGTTTTGGTCTCGTTCTATAAAAAATAAAAAAAATTAAAAAAAATTGTGCACTGTTCATCGTTGTTACTGTTCATTGCGCCTGTTTTCGTCGTTGACCTGTGCTGCTTCAACTTCATCGATGCCCATCTTTTTCCTCGTTCTATCGTGTTAAGGAAGAAGACATTGGTTTTAACCCTTTCACCCCCATAAAGCTCCAGAATTACAGGAACCTCCCTAGAAGTTCTTGAAAGTTACAGAATCACCCAGAAGTTCTAGTAAATTGCAGAAGTATCATCCAGAAATTCCAGTATTGCAGAAACGTCCCAACAAGTTCAGAAAATTACAGAAACATCACCCTAGAAGTTCCAGAAATTGTAGAAACACCCCAGAAAGTTCTACACTTTGTAGGATCATCCCCTAACTTGTCAATCATTCTCTTGGAGTTGCATCTAACACCAGATACGAGTTTTTTTCATTGAGAATTGGTGACTAGTATTTATATTTGTTGGTAAGTCAAACCAAAAAAAAAAAATCTAAACTTTCTTTGTTTGTTGTTCCCGCATACCACCTTCATAACCTTTTTTGTTTGTTGTTCCCACACACCACCTTCATAACTTAGCTTACCCAATTTTTTGTTAAATCCATTGTTGCTTGTCTCACGTTTATTTGAGCCTCTTTACAATAAGTTTGTTCTTATGTGTGACCATTTGCATTGATTTATAATTTTTATTACTTGGTTTAATTTTTAGTCTAGTCGGCCATTTACATTAGCCCAAATTTTACATTACATTCACTATGATGACCCTTTGTGAGCTTTCAGAATCCCATACTGCATTAGAACAAAAATTTGAGACCCTCACCATTGATATGACCGATACTAAACAATCAGTCGACTTGTTATGTGAGGAAGTTAAAGGAATGGGGCAACAACTTTCTCAAGTTACTACTCAACTAGCCCAATTGACTAAGTTTATGGAAAAACAACCAATAGACTATGACTAGAGTGAGTCATAAGTTTTACCTAAGTCTAACCAAGTACCCAATGTTCAGCACCTTCCTCTCCCGATAGATCCTACGGACTCATGTCAAGGCGTCCTACCCATTTCGCAAGTAGCTCAGGGGAGCCGAATACAGCGTCCAGATAAGAAGACACCTCCTAATACTGCTTTTGGACGAAACGTAGGTCGTAGGAATGTTCAGGAGGATCTCGTTGAGGTAGTCATGTCTGACTATTCAGCAGAGGGTGATATGGATGGTTATCGTGAGCCCTTCCGCCCACGTGCCAGATACTATAGGTCTCCCCCTCCGTGTTACTATAATCCTCGACATAGGCATGTCCACGAAGAATCTAGGGATATCACACAAAGAGTCAAGGTGGGCGCTCCTAGCTTTGATGGTAGGTTAGATCCTGTTGCTTTCTTAGATTGGTTGGATGACTATTTTGATTGGTATGATATGTCCGACAACCATCGGGTCGTTTTGCCAAAATGAAACTCGTTGGTTCGGCTAAGATATTGGCAGGGAGTCCAACGAGACCAAGAGCACCTAGAGCGACAACCTATTACTTTATGGGCTGAGATGAAACAAAGATTGCGAGATAAATATCTCCCTAGTTACTATAAGCACCAACTCTTGGACAAGTGGATGAACTTGCGTCAATTGACCTCGAGTGTGACTGATTACCTAGCTCGATTTGAAGAGCTCTTTCTATGATGTGACATAAAGGAAGAGCTTTGGGTAACAGTTACAAAATTCATTAATGGCTTACGACCTGAGATTAAAAGAGAGCTTAATTTACACTCTCCTAAAACGGTTGAGGAAGCATATTATAAGGCCTTAGAGATTGAACAATACCTTAGGCCACCCTTTCAGCATCGAATGCCTTCTCAAACCGGAGAATCTCAACCATCAAGGTTAGTCCCATTTGTTCGGTCTCGAGGCGTCACCCAGTCAGGCCTTGTCACATCCAGGGGTAACAATTACCCCAACTTGAGAGGTAATACCACTAGGGGTCGAGATTTTACACTCACAGGTTCTCGCCAGGACAGTTCTTCCACAGAGTGTCACCGTTGTCATGGCAAGGGTCATATTGCTTCACAGTGCCCTCAGCGTACCTTGACCATTGACCAGGAATTAGAGAATTCACTTGACAGAGAGGATGTTGACCTAGAAGTTGATCCTTTGGATGAGGAACCCTTAGAGTTACTAGATGAGGGTGAGGAAGAGTGGTAAACCGATGATACCCGTGTCAGTGTGATGCGATGTATCTTATCCACCCCTTCAGACAGCAGCATGGAAACGCACCAGCATTTTTCATACTCTAGTCCGATGTGGGGGTCAAGTTTGCTAGGTCGTCATTGATGGGGGAAGTTCATTGAATATCATCTCTAAATCAGCTGTAGTTCAGTTGCAGCTTAAGTTAGAGACACACCCACAACCTTACAAAGTTGCATGGGTTGACAAGATCTCCTTACCAGTCTCACATAGATGTTTGGTCCCTATTCATATGAGTGACTATTCAGATCATATATAGTGTGATGTCTTACCTATGGATGTCGCTCATGTCTTGTTGGATCGCCCGTGGCTTTTTGATCTAGATGTGACAAACTATGGGAGAGAAAATACCTATGTTTTTAAGCATAAGGGGAAAACCATTAAGTTAAAACCTGCGAAACCCTCAGAAAGTAATACTTCAAAGCATAGGTCATCTTCTTTAGTAATTTACAAGAAAGATCTTTACATCTTGACCCATAAAGAATTTGAGAAAGAGAGAAAAGAGTTTGGTATAATGGTAGCTCTAGTTGTCAAAGTTGTTCAAAGTCCTCTGGAATCTAAAGACAATCTTTTGCCTGAGGTTGATAGTCTATTGAGAAAGTTCCATGATGTGATTCCTGAGGAACTACCCTATGAGTTGCCACCAATGAGAGATGTTCAGCATGTTATTGACTTAGTTCCAGGATCTCAGTTGCCTAATCTTCCCCATTATCGTATGAATCCCATTGAGCGTGCTGAACTCCAAAGGTAAGTAGATGGACTGTTGCAAAAAGGGTCTGTTCGTCATAGTCTTAGTTCATGTGCTGTCCTTGCTATGTTGACCCCTAAGAAAGATGGCTCTTGGAGAATGTGTGTTGATAGTCGTGCCATTAACAAAATTATAGTCAAGTATCGATTTCCTATACCGAGATTTGAAGATATGCTTGACTTTTTGGCCGGTGCACTTTGGTTCTCCAAAATTGATTTGCGCAGTGGTTATCATCAAATTCGAATTAGACCAGGAGATGAATGGAAAACCGTATTTAAAACCCAGGATGGACTTTATGAGTGGTTGGCAATGATCAAAATGTCGTGTCGACATGTCCGAAACGTTTCGGAATTTCAACACTCCGAAATGAAACAGTAGTTGAATCACAAAATTCCAGTGTTTCGGTCGAAACGGTACTGTTTCGGACCGTTTCGGTCGAAACGGCATTGTTTCGAACCGTTTCGACAAAAGAGTGATATATTCGGTTCATTATGAATAATTACATTTAATACCCAATTTAATTTTCACTGCTCTTCTGTCTTTTATAATTTTTTTGTTATAAGAATAAATAATTACACTTAATACCCATTATAATTATATTTAATACATACTGTAATTATATTTAATACCTCACTGCTGTGCAAGTTTTTTGCTTTTTTTTTTGTTATAAGTATTAACAATTACATTTAATACCCTAATGTAATTATATTTAATATCTACTGTAATTACATTTAATACCCACTGCAATTACATTTAATTTTTAAGTATACATAAGTATCATTAATTTAATTTGATACCCTTCATTATTAGTATTATAATAAAATAATATTATTAATTGGATTATATTACCGTAATAATATGATTTGGAGTAACTATTGTCATCATATTTATGTCACATATGGAGTTTCTCTAAGTAGCTACCCAGAGCCTACACCGATGTATGAGCTTGCTCGACACTCCACAGGGGAATGGATGTAACCATGTAAGTATGTACTCATTAGCATTTCATGTGTATTATAAGACCTTAATATTATGTAAAAATGTGTTTATTTCATAAAAATTAAGTGTTTGAAACTAATTTAAGTGACTTTCGCCTCAAGTCAAGCCTTTTTTTCCCTCAAATTTAAATTTATTCTTGTATAAATTGATGTTAACCTAATAAATATGTTGAATTAATAAATTATTTAGCATA